CATAGGCCAAGATTTTGGCTGGGGAGCTGGCAGCTGCTTGCACAGAGCAGAACTGAGAAGTGGGAGGAGAAAGTTGCCATGTGGTGTAACGTGCGATGACAATGTGACACCTGAATGCAATCATATTGGCAGCTGTAATGTGCTGTTCATTTCATCTGGTGGCCATTCAGTTGGAGATTTGACTCCAGCTGTGTCAGAACAGTGCATGGATTTGCAATTATTTTCTCCCAGCAGCCTGTGCTGAGCTAGGTGTGCTGAATTGCACTATCCTGTTTTTTTTCTTTCTTGGAAAATGTGTGTAGGGGAAGATAATTTGCTTATGATTCTTGGCCTGAGTTAAATCTTACCTGCGAAGCAAATGAAGACACAAAAATGTTTCTTGTTGGCTACGTAACCAGAGCCAAGCCTTGCTGCCACTCCCAGGAATGGCTATAGCTGCATAGTTGCCTGCTTAGAGTATTAATTTTCAGGACCATTAATTTAACAAGCATCTGAAAAATTCTCCTGTGGGAGAATTTGCTGTCACGTAGCAGGGGTGCTTCAGAAGCCAGGTTGGTAGCAGTAGTGTGCGCTCTCTTCATCACAGCCCAGTGCACGTGGGCCTCTGCCAGGACGCTGGCTGCCACACCACCTGATGCGGGCTGTGGGCTCTCCTTGAAAGATCCAGTCACCGTTTCAGTGGAAAACTTAGGGCAGGTGTGCAGGTGTGTATTTGCATGGGCTTTTTGCTTGAAGCGATAGAACACAACCGCTGCTGCAGACAGACAAGTCAGATGGCAGAAGTCACAGAGCTGCTTGCTGACTTTTTTTTTTGTGCTGGAACAGCTTGAAAATGAAACTGTCTGGTATCCAAGGAATCGTGTTAAAATGCTGCAAAGTGGCAGCAAAATCAACCTTGCTGACAGAGCCAGGAAAGGATTACAAATACAAGTTTCGTGTCCTGGCTAGGAGTGCTTTATTTGCTGCCAGTTCCAGTCAAGAGAACATGCAAAGGTTTAGAAAACAAATACAGATGTGGTAAAAGCAGCCAGCAAAAAATTTAGGTTGAACATCTGGAATAATGTACTTTGGTTTGCAAAACTGTGCACTGCAGCGATGTTGAAAATAGCTTTAAAAACCATTTCAGCCTAAATAAAGATAGAAAACCCCATTTAACTGTGGGAGTAATCTGGAGTGATGGACTTTCTGGGCATTTGTTCTAATTAAGCTCGAACAGGTTAATTTGCTGAATTTTTATCACCTGATGACAACTTGTTTGTATAATGAATCTCAGTGTCACCTGGTGTCAGAGCCACAGTCCTGTCACACAAGATCCTGCTGAGCATCCTGCAGCTGTCCCAGCAGACGGAGCGGACATGCAGCAAACGAGTTAAACGCAATGGCTTCTGTTTCTCATTGCGGTTCAGGGCTGTTACGTTGGGCTGGAGTTGCTGGGGAGCTGTGCAATCAGTGTTGCACTCTGGGCACTCAATTCTGTCTTTAACAAACCTTCATTTACTCAGTAGCTTTCCTGCGTCGGGGAGGCCTGCCCTTATTCCTCACTGGTTACTGTTTGTAGGTGGTTTTGCCTGTTGATGTGAATTTTCTCATGCACCTGATTTCCAGCTCCTAGAAGAGATGGAATCGCTCCAGTGTCAAAATGTTGTTGCAAGTGGAGGTGAGATGCAGAACTGAGGTCGTGTAGTCAGGACGCAGGAAGGCAGCCTGATTTAGGCAAGTGCACACAAAAGTTCAGAGCAGCAAAGCGATCTCAAGCCTTACTGCTGCTGGACTGTCTGCATCTCCATTGCTAGCACTTGAGTGCAGTTATATTGAGCGCAGAGAAAGTGGCTGTTCAGCCCGGGGGCTGGTTTGAGAATTGTCATGCTGACAGCAGTTGTGCTTTTATTTGATCACCTTCCCACTGCTCCAAAAAAAGAAGTGTCTCACCAGATCCCAAGCAAGACAAGTTCCTCGGTTTTGATGAATAAATCACTTCTGACGTAGTCAGTCCGCCCTATGTGCGTGCGTGCTACCAGGGTTAATGACACTGACACTGGAGTAACTGCCCCCAAATCCCACCACACCTGGAAGAGGGTCATGGAGAGAGACCTGGGACCCCGCCAGCGCCTGGCTGGCATCGCTCTTGTTAACGGCCCGAGGCCCTTGGATGGCAGCCTGCTGGTTGCCTTGCACTAAGGCCCTCTGTGAAGGCTGGGGGGGGTCTGCGGGGCGGCATCCCCCTCTGTAGGCAGACCTGGCAGTGAAACCATTTTCTCTCTGCTGGGGTTTGAAGAGGAGGACAGTCTGTAGTCTTTATGGTGGGACTAGAAGTGCACGCATAGCTGCAAGCATGGCTCCATTAGGAATGAGATGCCTTTGGGGAAGAGCGATATTAGTAAGTATAATAATATAATAAATACTAGTACATGCAAGATCCTTGTATCATCATGGTACTATGGCATGTCCTGAAAAAAATACAATCAGAAATTACTATTTTAATGTAGAGATCAGAAATCTAACTTAAAGGGAAATCTTTGTCTGTGTATTGATCTTCCATACCCCAAAGTGATCAGACTAAAATTTCCTGCAGACGAACATGGCTGTGGGTGGCACAGCAGATGAGTGTGGTTTGGGAGGAACCAGGAAGCCACAGTCCAAGTCTTGAGGTGAGGAGCGGCGGAGTGCATGAGGGCTGCTGTGGGGCAGCAGGAGAGCTGAGCCGGGGCGGCAGCGGGGTGGACGGGCAGCACTGGCTGCACAATTATGACTGCAGACACATGGCCAAGGGGGCTGGTCAGGAGTGGTCCAGAGACAGGTCTTGCTCCTCCTGGAAGCCCATGACGTGGTTAAAATCAGCAGGCTGGAAACTTTGATGTGAGTAACTGTGACCACACTCAAGTCTTCCAAAATGACTTTTTTCTGTGTGTTTAAAGGACATACTGACAGCTACAGGGCTGACAGCAGCACTCCTCCCACATGTGTGTTGCCTGTAACCATATTTCCCTGCTGAATCCGCAACACCTCCCTTCGGTGCCTGGAGGGTGATCACTGTCAGACAGGCCTGAGTTACACGCTCCATCCATGGGTGGTAGCACTTCCCCACCAAGAGGAGAAACACATCAGCTGGCAGGCAGCACTGCCAGGCAGCACTGCCAGGCTACTTGGTCTTGTGGTCAAGTGTAAATTTGTGAAAAATTTGCCCTTTTTTTTTTTTTTTTTTTTTTCCTTCTTTCCCTCATGTTTTCTTGGTAGCCAGGACATCCACAGAAGAACCTGTCTGGTTCCAGTGAGGTAACCTGCACTTCTTTCCAGCCCTCCTCGCCAGGTGAAGAGCCACAAGGGTGACCGCATCCTTGCATGGCGGCAAGGACAGCAGCAGGGTGGTATGGCTTGTGACTGTAACGCAGGATTTTCCCCGCTGACAAAGGCTTCCTGCTGAGAATTATGCTCTGCAGGAACCAAAAAATACTCAGTGTTGTAATGTTTCCCCAGAACAGCACGCTCCAGTCATACTATAAACAAGGTGCTTTGAAGTACAAATAGTTTATTGCAATGTTTCATTATTTACAGTACCGTTTACTTTGTCCCTGGGTGCTACCAAAGTGCAAGCCATTTGAAACAGAAAAGCTCAATGATGGTACCTCAACAGCAAAACACGACTGTGCCTTACACTCGTACTGTCCTGCCCCTTCCCTGGTGCTGCAGGCAGAGAAGTTTGCTGCTCTTCCTGGCTACTTGTAACAACCTGGTAACATGAAGCTTTGGTCACAGAGGATTGTCAGTTGTTGGGTCTGCTCAAGGTGATGCAGGAACAGGCACCTGCAGTCTCTCCAGCTGGACTTACTTGGAATTCAGGGATTCTGACTGCGTAACAAGATGCCTTGGTACGCAGACAGCACTGTCAAGTTCCTATTTCAGTTTTTGATATAAGTACTGGTTTATTTCCAATTATTTTTGTTGTTGATTCTCTTTGGTTTATGTAAGCTTTCAGTCATCTACCTGTTTTGAGGGTAGATCTTCCTGGCTTAGCTCTCTTAGAAGAGTCAACACCTCTAGAATTACCACAGAATTGCTACTGGGTACTGAAGTTGGACATGTGATCTCCTAGAGTTGCATTTAAAGGCCTTTACAGACCACTGCAACTTTTATTATGTTTTTCCATTTTGCATAAAAATCGTGATTCCAACACCGCTGAAGCCTACATTTTCACACACTATCATCTCAAAGTAGGACAAATCACACTGGTTACTTCAGGAATGACCTCTCAACAGAAACTTGCCTTTTGGCGGGGGTCGGAGGGGGAGGTAGTTACTACAAATTTTATTGAAGACTTGAGAATTCCAGTATTCCGGTAGCTAAAGTCAGGTCAAGAATCTTTCCAGCTTTCTAACAAGTCTTTCTTGAGAAAGTCTTTGAAAGACAAGTTGCAGACCGAGTACCTGCAATTTCTGCTGCTGCCAGCAGTCACTTGGGAGGTGGGCAGTGAACTACTCTGCTCCAGTTACCTTAATGTGCAACAGGGATGTCGTTACCCTTCTAGAACTTGAGATGCTTCGCGTTACAAAGCTCTGGTACAATTAGGAAATGTTTATGACTACATTCCTGAAAATAAGTTATATTACATGGCACTCGAGTCCTCCAGAACACAGGTAGCAGGTCTGTTGGGTAAGGCTCAGCAGTACTAACTGCTGCTCGCTCTTCTCACCCCATGCCTGGTTTTATGGTTCAGTGAGTCCCTGCAACAGCTGCCTCAAATGATTCTGAAATTACAACTTCTCAAAAACAGGATGAGTGCAGCTCTTGGCAGGTTTTCTCCTGTGAGTCACACTTTTATTCTGTGTTTTCACAGGCTTTTCTGTATCACTATTGATAGAAAGCCACCAAAAGCTTTACAGCTGCAGAAGGTAACATTTTCACAAAGAAAATGTATTGGTTTTATTTCTTAACCTACCATACAAAACACAGTGTTTAAAAGCTCTGCAGTGCCTTCCTCTGGAATTTGGAGTAGGCAGCAGAGCTCACATGCAGTCAACAACATTGCTGGATCCCTGGCCCACGTCCCGGACCTGGCTGCTGAGACAGGAGCACACAGCCACCCCTGCCCCTGCCCTGCAGTGTGACACCGAGCCCACGAGTTCCCACCTGAAGCAGACAGCAGAGGAGAAAGAGAACAGTAAGTTCCTGCCCCTTCTGAGCAACTTGAAAGTATTTCCTTTTCTGTGTCTGAAATTCTATTACACAGCCTAGCTGTTTATTCTGCACACAAAACACACCCCGCTACTTCGCTCATGATTTCTCAAGTAAATTTAGTGCAAAATCAGACTGAAACAAACAGAAGAAGGTAGGTTCTTATTGAGTGATGGGAAGAGGACAAGGTATGGAGGAGGCAGGAGATGCTTACAAGAACCTAGTGGTATAAGCAGCACTCCTGCATCACTAGTCATGGATATTACTCAGTTATTATCAGGAAACAAGACAGACTCCTGCTAAACACTATTTCTATTATGTTGTGTTTTCATATAGGCAGATTTTGTGGTCTTATGAAGCCAAATAAAAAATATTAAATTACCTATTCACTATGGGATCAAATGCTTCCACTGTATTCAGGTACGCGTTGCCATTATGACCTCCAACTGCAAAAATTTTACCCATCAGTGTGGCTATGCCAACGCCACCCCTCGGAGTTGTAAGCTCTGCCACATATTCCCATTTGTTGCTGCGTGGGTCAAACCTCTCCACCGAGCTCAGTGGAGAGTTGTCATCAAAGCCACCTGCACAGAATCATCACATTATTAGTTTTTAGCCACTTTTACTGCTGCTTATATCCAGGACTGGCATTATCAGGCTATTCTCAGCATTCAGTGGGCTAGTGCCCAGCTCCGTTTCTTTACATGAATTTTACAAGCCCCTGCACAGTAATCTAACAGCTCTCCCTCCTGTCACCGTACAAGCATCGCCAAGAGTGGCAGTTTTCTTCTACTCAAGTTGCAAGGAGAGGTATTTCTATTATTTTTTCTCCTTGACAACTTCTTACACATAATTACAATGACACAGCTTCTAATTTGGAATAGAAGAAACCTAAGACCAGTAAAAGGATGGTCCTGATCTTATTTTGGCTTAAGCAAAACACACTCTTGTGGTGTTTTCAAATTACAGCATTGCTGAATATCTGAGTTGGAAAAAAAAATCCTGAAGACTTCAGTGATGCATTCCTCTGGCTGGGTCACCAGTCAGATAAGCATTTTACTCAAAACTTTAATCACTTATGATAATGCACAAGGCAGAGCTCTGCAGCTATCACTATGGCATACGTACCTGGCATCTTCCTCGGGAAAGCAGGTAAATGCAAGGGAGAGCAGAACAAGACAGTCCGAGGACAACGGGCTATTCAATAAGTATAATCACTGTGCGAGAAAGCTGCTGTTGTCTACACTCAGAACAGAACTAGAGTTCTTTAAAAGTGTGTGAACTTAATGATTTTCCTAAAAGGAAACTCATGATTAGCGAGTCTCGAGAGGATTTCCTATAGAGGCGTATTGTCCTGAACAGTACACCCCTCCTGAAATATGAGTTAGGAACTGCTTTTTATTTCCTCACTAACATACCTTCATTTAAGTGTGTCCTGGTTGTGCTCGCTTTCTCTCCTGCCCAGGAATACGAAGGTCAGGTCTGTCTGTTACCCAGTTCCTCTAGCAACAACAGCCTCTTCCAAATGCCAATACTTGGCAGAAACAGCACTACAAAATGCCACATCCCTACTCACCGACAACGTACAAGCAGCCATGTAGCTCGCTGACACCATTGCCAGCTCTTCGTTGACCCATCTCTTTCACTTCTATCCACTTATCCAAATGAGGATCGTATTTCTCCACGCTGGAAAGAGATGCTACACCATCATTGCCACCCACAGCATAAACATGGTTCTGAAAAACAGTCATATAGAGAAAGATTATTCGTAATATGTATTTACTCAGCTTTTCATAAGCGATGTTAAAATTATAGGAAAACATGGTATGTCCATATAGTCTTAATTATTTACTTCTATTTAAAAATTCCAACAACAGACTTCATTATCTAACAACTTGTAAATGCTATCTTCCAATTAAAGAAATAGTTATGTAGTGTTGCAGATAGAGTATACATGACGACAGGGGGATTAAAGTGCAGATGCATTTGGTACCTTTAAACATAGGAACCATGACAAACCCAAGTCTTCTGAATGAAACATGAAGCTTTAGCCTGATGTTGTTAGAAGGGTCCTGGTACTTGCTCCAGTACCTCAGTGCTGCTGAAACAGGGAGCGCAGTTCAATTTGATATGAGTATTATCCTAACATATTCACCTTTTGCACAGTTCCATAGGATTTTTATGACTGGAGGTGCTCAGACCCACCAGCTACATTTTGTTTTAAATCTGGTGTTCTGCCTTGTAAAAGCAGATTTGAAAAGCAGGTCAGCTCCTCGGCTGGCCCCGGCATGGGAGGGAACAGTTACTTACCACAAGGGCTACAGAGCCAACTCCTCCCCTGGGAGTGTTCATTGGGGCGACTGCACTCCACCGATCAGAATCGATGTCGTATCTTTCCACATCGCTGAAGCAAGTGTTGTCGTCTAAACCTCCTATTGCATAAATGGGGCCACCGAGGGAGGCAAGAGCAATTCCTCTCCTAAGAAAACCACAGGATCAATAGCTCAGTGCAAATCCTTAAGGAAAGGGAATGGAAAAGACACATCCACTGCAATGTTACCTGACTGGCACCCGTTTCAAGCTACAGGAAAGAAGTAATAAGAATTTTAAAAGTGAGGTTTATAATAAATAATGACCACTGACTGTGGCTGGCCCTCTGCACACCTCTGTCAGTCTTGCAGTTTTATCCTGAAGGTCTTTAGTATGTTTGTAGCCTCCCATTAGAGAAGCTAAGGACTAAAGCTCAACTTCACCTCAGCTTCCCCAGGCACCTGTATCTTATTGTGTGATCCATGGACAGGACTGTTGCAGCTAGAATATTTTTAGATGGCAAAAAGACAAAGGTCTCGTTTAAAAAATAATAATAAAAAAAAAGGGAGGGGGGCATGGAATACTGTTTTGACTGAATGTCACCTAAGGCCCAAGTCCTTACATGCTTGGATATATGATATTGTCATAGTTGCTGGATTTCTCTATCTCAGTACTGAATTTTACACCTCTTATCTTATTAAATCTGATGGAGAACCGAAATCTGCTGGTTTTAACTTTGTTGGTATAGCTGCTGCTACAATTTGGGAATTATTTTTTTGGGGGGTGATCTTAGTACATATTAAAAGGCAAACCTGTGCTGCATGTTAGATAACTGAACTCTAGCTAGATTTAATTGCAATTTCTTCCATTCTGTTGTTTTCTATTAAGCTTGTGTTAAAACAGTTGTCAGATTTTTTTTCTACCGGATCTACCAATATGAGAGCACAATCAGTACTACAAAATGAAAAGTATGGTCTAGAATGTAAGCATTAAGTTTCTGCTTTAACTACCAAGACAGATGATTCACGATTTCACTTAGAACATTCTTGTCTCATTACACAGAGGGAAAGTTCAAAGATACCTAGGCAGGAGCCAGGAAGTCACAGTCTTTCTACAGAACAAACATTGTGGCAATATCCTGGGCTTATCTTAAATTGCCTCAGCAGATAATGTAGACACCATCAGTGGTGGCAGTTTTTTCTCAGCTAAGTATTCCAACACTACCTCCGTGAACGTGAGCAGTGGAGCGTGCAGTCAAGGCACAGCAGCCTTCTCATTTACCAAGGTCCTGAGTAGAAAATGCCACAGAAATCTAGGCCTGATGTTTGCCCAGAATATGCCCTGGGGTTGTGGCAGGCGGGAGGAAGAGGAGCAAGAAGCCACTTCAAGGAGTCTGGGTCTTTTACTTTGATTAGGTCACAGCTACAAACAGCTTTAGGACTTAGCCATGCTCAGTAATTTACTCCTACTTGTACATGATGCTTTTAGAAACAACAAATAACAACATGGTATGTAGAATTAAAGATGTTGATCTAAATTACAACAGAAACAAAAAAAAATTACAGATCTGTGAGTCCAGTAGCTCCTTAAAAGAATCTTAAATGTCAAAAGGCAAGAAAAATCCTCAATCTGACCCCCAGTGTTTTAGCACTTCCGGCCTTTTGTGGCAAAAACATAGGCAGCCATTCATTTCCTGGGCATGAAGTATTTCACTGTGCGTGTTCTGCTGGCAGTTATCTTGCTCATTCTTAAAAAGAGCAAAAAACCCACAGAACCAGTTAATCAGTTTTGAGTTCTTTACTGGGCGTAGCAGAAGGGCCTTAGATAATCAGAATGTAAGTACAACTGGAGCAGAAGAGCTCTCTGCTCCAGAAGCCAGCCCCCAAAAAAGAGAAAAGGGTAACAGGCAAAAGAAAGCCAAAGTGTAAACATAACCAATGTTACCAGCCAGAGCCCCTCCCTAGTGAGAGGGACTATGCAGTTTTGCACTGAAATACTTACAGTATTTTATGCACAACTTTGTTTTTGTGCAAATATGATGTATGCAAGTATTTCACGCACATTTGTGTTTGCTTTGTAACTAGTAAATAAAGGTGTTTGATAGCATAAAGCCCCAAAATAGGAAAAATAATTTCCTAAAAATAGCACAGTTTGGAAACCCAAATAAAGGCAGGACAGGCATGATGTTTTTCAGCATCAGCAAGAAACGATATATCACAGACTAGGACTTACATTTTGGATCATGGGACACGTACCTTTTTGTGTTCATTGATGCCTTCATCATCCACTTGTTTGTGAGAGGATCAAATACTTCCATGCTTCCTAAGTGTTCATTTCCATCATGTCCACCTACTGCATAGACTTTACCTGAAACCCATACACATCTTTTGATACAGAGATTGTCTGGCAACATTTCAGTTTTTATTTATGTACTATCCCTGCCTACGTGGAGACAAAAAGCTCAAATAAAGGTTAAAGTTTTCAAATGTTTTCAGTATCAGGATTTTAATAAGTACAGACTTTATATTTGTATATGCTGTACTCAACCAGAGACCTGTTGTAATGTGGACTTTTATACAAAGCTTGAGACACGTAGACAAAATATCATCCCGTAACTTGAGTACTGCAGGTCAGATCAGTTTTGGACATTTACATCAGTCTCTCCAGATGTTCTATGGGGGAAAAAGAAGATCTCTGTTCTGCTGCAGCAACACAGGGGCCACCCTGTACAAGGAAAAGTTGCATCATGGGTGCTAAGCTGCTCTGGACTGCACGGACCTGGTTTCAAAAGATGGAGACCCAAAAATAAAGGTAGGTCTGCTCTTGGAAGAGTTATGGTCTTAGTGACTTGCCTGTATGGACTTAAGTATGAAGGGAGCGATTATAATTACTAGCAAATTCTGGGTGACTCTGCTGTGTCTTTATAAATGGATTAAAAAAGAAAATCACCTATTAAGGCAAGAGGCTATATACAGTTCATAGAATCACAAAATACTTGGGGTTGCAGGGGACCTTTAAAGATCATCCAGTCCAACCTCCCTGAAGTAAGTAGGGGCATCTTCCACTAGATCAGGTTGCTTGGAGACCTGTACAACCTGATCTTGAGCGTTTCCAGGGATGGGGCATCTACCACCTCTCTGGGTAACCAGTTCCAGTGTTTCACCACCCTCATCATAAAATATTGTCTTCCTCATATCTAGTCTAAATCTACCCTCTTTTAGTTTAAAACCATTACCCCTTGTCCTACTGCAACAGGCCCTACTAAAAAGTCTGTCCCCATCCTTCTTATAAGCCTCCTTTAAGTATTGAAAGGCTGCAATAAGGTCTCCCCGGAGCCTTCTCTTCTCCAGGCTGAACAACCCCAACTCTCTCTGTTCACAGTAATGTCTTTTCAGTAAGCATGCACTCAGATTGTTTCAGAAGCAAAAACCCCTTCATAGCGAAGAAGCTTTACTAAATTGAAGAACGTCCAACAGTTAAGCCATTGCAAGACAGATTTGTGTAGTACAAGTACCGATTCCAGCAAAAGGAGTGAATGAGTGCCTTTTGAATAAAGTGGCTTGAACAGGGTTACTGACCTCCCACAGAGATCACACCCACGTGCCTTCTCCTGCTGTTCATTTCAGGGCCGAAGAACCAGTTGTTCTTACTGATGGAGTAACATTCAATGCTGCGAAATGGGTCACCCGATCCACCTCTACCACCAACACAGAACAGCACACCTGAAGAAGACAAAACAGGTTTCCAGAAAACTAGTAGGAAGATGCGCGATAAAGTTGTATAGCAGAGTGAACTGAAAATTATGCAGAAGTCGTATTTCACTTCAAGGGGCATGGTGACTGCCCTGCATAACTGGATGCTGGATTTTAGCCTTTGCCTGGCATGCTGCTAATGGCAATTAACTATCTATGCTCTTGCAAAAACAATGCATATTTAACATATGTTTTCTGTGATTTTGCTTAGGGAGATAAACAGATTGTTTGTTAAATATAGCAATGTAAAAATCAGGATTTGCAGTTTAATATTCATCACTTACTTTTGGTATAGGTTAGCCAAAGAGTTTAAAAGTTAGCTCAACGTTCTCACACCGAAAGGTAAGTGTCCACTGTTTTTCGTATAGCTTTGAGCATACTGTCTGGTCATAACATATTTAACAGTTCTAGCTTTAATACTGATAGAGCCGATCAGGATAAATAAATAATGCTTTAAAGAAAGAAAATGACTGCTAAAGTTCTGCTAGGAAAACACAGCACATTACCTAATTACCACAGAGGTACACAATGGCTTTCCCAATTTTGCATTAAGTCATTAACAACCATTTATACCAAGCTATCTAACCCTGGACAGATGTGCTGCCTTTTCTCCACACCACTCCCTACTGGATAATCAGACACACATTTAATTACCAGCAGTCTGCTTCCTTGGTGTTGTGCGAATGGAGTACTCAAAGTCTGGCACTGCCCTGCTGCTCAGGTGAAGGTGGTAGTTTCTTGCTTCATCCAGCAAATCCCTACATTTTAGATTCTGCTTGACAATCTCTTCCTTTGCCACAACACCCATAAGGAAACAAATGGGCAAGAGAGGCAGCCGTACCTGACAGAAATGAACACAGTCTCCCTTCGCAACAACACCAAGAGGGAAAAAAATGGGCAAGAGAGGCAGCCGTACCTGACAGAAATGAACACAGTTGGAGTAACTGGCTGAACTGACTGAGTCTCACCATTTACAGTGACACACGCATAACAACAGATGGCAGCTTCTGAGACAGCTGCCAGCCCCACGCTCTTCACTAAAAAGAGCGGCTTTCATTTTCTTTTTCCAGAGTAACAGCAATATGAACAGTTCTTTTCAGTGACACGTTTGCTACAACCATTTGCATTTAAGCAGCAGTGGAGAAATGTCTCTTGGCCCAGGCTGAGCGAAGGAAGAAGTGCTGCTGCCTCTACTGCAGTTGCAGCTGCCCAGCGTGACGCAGGCAGCACCAGTGACTTTATCAGGACAGCCCCTGTCACGTTAGTCTGCTGACAGTATGCATTTTCAGCTCATTGCTATGCCAGCGTAAGAGGGCTTTTACTAGAATCGTTTATTTTCTTTGGGTGGCAAGTCAAAAACAAACCACTGTCAGCATGAACTAAGTGTCTATTAAGGAGGTATTGCTACTGCCGTAACACTTTTCTTGAGTGTCGACAGACTAGAGGATTAAAAAAAAAAAAAGAGAAAAAGATTGAGAGCTGTTTCCTTCCCCAAATCCTTCCTGTCATTCCCCAGAAGAGAGCTGGTGACGAGGCTGAGGAATGGAAAGCTCTTTCTGGGTGAGGCTACAGGTGGTCACTGCCAAGAGCAATCCCCAGTGACAGGGCAGATCTGAAATAAGGTCAGCCTCTCTAAGACTACGTTGAAATGTCCTTCTCCCCACAGTCATTTATTTCAGCAAACCTTTCATTTGTCCTTGTAAGAGAAACAGTGAGGAATATGAAGTACAATCAGGCGCAAAGGCAGAACCGGTGTTAGCAGGGGGGAACTGAAGTAAACCACCCTCTGACTTCCTGAGGCTTGGAGTCCATGCTGTCAGGCAGCTACCGGTTAACTCAGCAGCAACGGTGAAGTAGTCCACTATCTCCGGTGCTTCTCAGAGCAGCAGGATGGTGCTGTTATACGGCTGACAAGCGTCCCTGTCTTCAAGTAAGCAACTGTCTCTACCAGTTCTTCCTTACCCGCTTGCCTTCAGTTCCACTTCTTCCTTTACTTTGGCCCGGCTTATTTCAGGCTGATTAAAAGCACCACCGTAGCCCTGCTAATAGACTCCTGAGGTTAGTGATGCGGGAACAACTCAAGGCTGACAAATTCAGAACCTCATTATAACAGAGAAACCCGTAAGGCTGATTATGATGTGCATAATAACTGTCAAGAAGCCCAGACATGTTTTCTGCTAGCAATCATGTCCAAATCAACTGATGGCTCCCTATACTCTGGCACATAACCCATATTTACAGGAAGACGTTGACTTTTTCACTGCTTCGTTCTAGACTCTGGTTTCCATGTAGAGAATAAAGCTGTTAATCTGATCTGCTAGCGCAACTGGGCAATAAAAATCAACCTGATTCTTTTTATTAAAAAGAATCTCAAATTATAATGCCTGTATATTTAATTATAGTGTGCTGGAGAAGTCTTTTTGTACCCAAACCCTCATGCTAGTCCAGATGAAACTGAAGGTTTTTGGAAGACACTTAATAAACAGTTGTGATCTTTAACCAGGGAATGTGAAAAATGATGCATGAAGACAATGACAGCAGCATGTTAGTGGACCTCTTGTTACTCACATGACACCAATATTAGCAATTCTACCAACTGCAAAATATTCAAGTTGGAGTTCAGTGACAACTGAAACAGCACAATTGATCCTACGTGCTACAACACATAGGGCATTTTGCACCACATGGCATGTACCCCCCTCTTCCCCAGCACAAGTTCTCTATATCTGTCTCAAATACTGTATTTTAAACTCTCATAAACAGCACATATGGAGCTTGAATAACTGAAGTACCTAATGCTTGGACAGGAGGTGGTCCACTGGGTGTTTTAAATAAGCTCAGCTGAGTGACCTTTTGATACCTATATGTGTTTCTTTCAGAAGCAGTGGACTTGCATCAAGTCTAGATGACTAAACTGCAAACTCCTTTCAGATCCTACAGGTAACCAGCAGTGCTAGCCTAGTAAGCATTAAAGGGTCTAGCATGTGTTTCCTAGCCTGCTCATGGCGCTAACGCATCTTGGTCTTTTATTAATTAAATATATGGAACAGTCTAGAAGTAGTACAACTTGATGCAACACATCTCCATTACAGTTTTACTTTCCTAGCCATGTAAAAAGCCTCCTCAACAGCTTTGCTCTCCTTTCTTAAGTACAAATATTTACCAGCAAGGGAATTGAGCATTTGAGGCTGTAACAGTATCAAAGCAAGTAAAGTGATGGCTTTATGTTCTCCGCTATGTGTAAATTTAAGAATTTTCTGCTCTAACAGATGCAGCTTTTTGTTAGCTCCCAACTCCCAGCCATAGCATAAAGTGAGTACTCTTCTTTCTACATAAACTGGAGAATATGACTTCTTCCTGATATTCAAGAGATCTAACCTGCTTCCACTGTCAATTCACAACTGTGAATACCAGATGAGGCACCAATTGCTAAGAACATTTGTCATTTTGAGATCTACCTAAATACAAACAGTTGCTTATACAACTATAAACCAGTGACGAGACAGGCACCTGGTGCCTTGGTCTGCCCTACCTGTGCAAGTATTTCATCCAGCCACATAGCATGATGCTGTGGATTGGCTAGCAGCCATTTGATAGCAGCGTTGTAAACTTGCTTTTCATTTTCAATATTCAGGTCACTGGAGGACAGGAGTTTGTGGAGGTGCTGTGGTGACACGCTCACAAAGTCTTCGCACTCCACCACTTCTGTAAAATGTTCACAAGCATACTGATCGGCCATGTCCATCAAGTCTATGCGGTTGTGACTCTCTGCAAATGCCCTGACTGCCAGGCAGTTGGAGGGATGGAAGTGCAGCTTCATGTATTCACAGCATGCCTTTGCTACCAGTTCCACCTGAAGAATGCAAGCAGCGTACAAGAGAGGCTGGACGTTATCCACCGTCAGAGTGAGCCGGGAGGAGTACACAAACTTCACTAGGTCTTCTATTGCATCGCCATCGAAGTCCCTGATCTCAATCAACGTCTGCTTGGCTTCAGCCATTTCCGAAAGAAACATGGCTCTGAAGTAAGGTATAACACAAGCTAGCACCAGTTTGTGGCAGGAGATAAGCTTTGAACCAACCTGAAAAAAAGAACAATTAAACCCCGATCTTTTACTGTCAGTTCTAGCTATGAAAGGATGGACAATTAAGTTGAAATAAGAATTCTGAACTTGATATTCATTGAGCTACTGTATTTTGTTCAAACTGTTTAACTCCATTTGCCTTGTACTTCTGACATTAGATCAACGTATCTAAAGCAGATCTGAGTCGTAACTTGGCTGCCAGAGTAGGGCAAGGCCATAACACAAGGCAGAAATAGCACTGATGCACTGAACTTGTTTTTCTTTAAAAGCCATGTCCTATTTTTTAAATGAAACATCTTTAGGACCCTTCTAGATGCATCCTGGAGACAGGAGGAGACTGCTAGGCACTTGTTTGTTATATGTATATTCAGAGACTTTAAGGGGGGGGTGGAATTGTAAAGTGACATTTTTAGACTACTTAATTTAAACCTCTACACTTTTACTACTGTTGAAGAATTGATAATGCTGTTTAGAGAAGGAAATTCATGTACCATCACAGTAATAACAGCTATTACAGGGATTATTAAAAGTTACCAATCGCTTCAAGAGTTTTAGAAGCTGTTTAGCCACAAAAGATAAGAGTATTCTCCATAAAGACGAGGCATTTTTCAAAATTCTGATCAGAAAACGCGAAGTAAGCTTTTCACTTACAAAATTCTAGAATTGAATTACATGAAAAGAGAATGTAAATATTGAAGGTAAATGAACAATCCACTACTTGTTTGTGTTACAGGAGTGCTTTCTTAGAGCCTTTGTCATTCTGTACTAACATAAAGGAATGGCCGAGTTAAGCAACCAGTTTCCCTGACAGACTCAAATTATGTGTTCACTTTCAGATGAAGCCATTGCAGTGAGCTGACTTGCAATTTAAAAAAAGAAAAAGACATTAAATTATAAAGGATAATTTGGAGTTTTTTCTGGCTCTGATTCAATACACAATTGCTTTACCTTTTTTAAAAGTATTATCAACACAAGTGTAACCTGCCTGCTGAGCACTAAGTTGAGTACAGAAAGCAAACACCCATGAAATAGTATGCAGATTAAAAGAGAGGAAAAGATGGATGGTTCAGTGTGAGTTAAGTAGATCACTCCAGAAGGAACAATTCATAGACCAAATGAACAAAAAAACAAACCAACAGGAGAAAAGCAGACGGTATGCATGTGCCACTCTCCGCCTTCTACCAGGGAGCTGTTCATATGACAGTAGCAATACAGTAGGTGAATTTCCAGATTTTAACTCTTTGGAGCAGAGGATTCTCCCTGTGTGCTCCCACGGTTTATCACGGTTGCTGTGTCTGCACTCCAACTAATTACAGTACTGATGCAAAGAGATGCTACCAGCTGGTCTGCTATACTGGGCAAAGCTGCTAGGCCACTCTCACCTTCACAGATTTTTATTCTGCCCATCATCCCACTCTCTAATTAGATCTTTCTTTTTAATTAAGTGGCTTCACTATTTTACCCAAATCTGTTTGATTTAAAATATCATGTTCTTGGTATTTCAAAATCAGAGTTCCTCTCCAGTTACTATCACATTTTAAGAGCCAGCAGCAATTAAATCAGTAATTGGTATGACAACAGCAATGCCAGAATTGCTATCAGAGATCACGAACAGAAGCAGAAAGGTCAGCAGAGAAGTATTTACTCTTAAAACATGAGAAATGCCTGAGCACTACAGAAAGAACAATCAAGCCATTCAGAAAATTCTAGTTCAAGATATAGTTACCAGTTACTTGAAAATCACTGATTTAAGAAGCCTTACAGTAAGATGTACATAGGTTGCTCTAGCCTCCATAGATTATATTCTCTACTTGAAGATGGGAAGCCAAGTCATGCAATCTAATATTCTTAAATTACTGAAGTAGCTCCACACAAATAATACAAATGAACATTAATACAAGCATAACCTAGGGAAAGTTAAACTTAGCCACAGTGAAGTGTATTCTCCAAGCCAAGTTCCCCTAGCAGGAGTATACGTTTAACTATGTTTATGAAGTAAGACTTTCTGCCTTCTCTGCAAGGGTGGGTGGAAAGGGAAACAGGTGAGGATGAGGTCCAGAAAAGGGAAGAGGAGAGTTGTTACGAGTTCTGACACAAACCTTCTTCCCCCAAATGCCTTTTAAAATGACAGATGTAAAAAGACCTGATGATGAGCTCTCATCCAAGTTCTGCTTCATGGCTCTCATGCTCTCCGGAGCAGCTTCAGTACTGTCAACTGTTATGAGCCTATTCGCTGCTGCTGGTGACAGGCATTTAATATCTGCTGTGAAGCAGAACAGAAAAAGGTTCTTGCTTACTCTAGTCCTGTTGTCCACTGAGGCAGAAGGGAAAGAAACTATCTTCCCTCTCAGAGATTTCCAGTGTCTCCCAAGTGTTTTAGAAAGATGAGATACCTACCAGGGGAGCACCACGGACACACATCTGTCAAGGATTTTCTGTGTTAATATCTAGTAGTAAAAGTGGCGGGCAAACGATTTCTCCTAAAGCCATCTGTGATTGTTCTTGGTATAGGAGCTATGCTTCATCTCTTTTTCTTAAATAACTATCTTGCACTACTAAGATGTCTAGCTAAGCAATACTTAATATTTGTAGGTGCTGGCAACCATTGTTTTGGATGCTAGATATAAATTTATTGTAATCAGGATACAAGTAATCTACAGCTAAGTTACAAATAATGCATTAAAGCAATGCTATGCAAGAATCATAAAACTGGTTTCCTCTTCCTCCTGTACTCTTTAATCATCTGTAGAACATAATTTTCTGGGGTTTTGTTTTTGTTTTTTTTCTTGAGAATGCTGAAGTTAGATATGTTCCAGATATCCTGTTTGCTGGGAAAGATTTACCAGAGCAACACAGAATGCAAAAATAGAGAGAAAATTGGTGATCAAAGTGTGTGAGAACAAAGAGGCTACAAGAAGCTGAAACTGCACAGTAATATACTGATCAGCTTTGAGAACTTGCTTAGTCATGTACTTCCCCTCTCGGACTGTCAATATCTTAAGTGTTTACATTTCAGTTGTAAACTTCCTAAATAAGAAAAAAAAAACACTAGCATATCTAGAGATGCCTCAGATCCAACAGGTATTCTATGGCTTCCGCACCCCTTCCCAAATTCACAGCCACCTCCAGCACACTTATTCATAGCTTAATCTTCACACTGTTAAATGCAATGGATGTGTGACAGCATCACCTTCAGCGTAACATCGCAGAGCTCTCCAGCTTCAAAGAAGCGAAGAAGAGAGCTGTGAAAATCCTTCCAAGCCTCATTTGCTTCAAATACAAAGATGTCATCTTCACCGTCGGAAGACCTAGTTTGCTGCTGCTGCTGACGTCTTTTTCCCTTTATCAGATGTTGTTTTGCGTGCTCTGGGACAGTGGATTCTGAAGCCATTGGTTGTTTCTTCTTTCACTATGTGAATCTTCAAGAACTCCTGCCAAGATAAAATCCAGCCCATCAGGAGTCAAGTCCTAAAATGCAGTTAAGTTCTGTTCATCTTCCTGTTTAAAAACAAAACAAAACAAAACAAAACAAAAACCACAAAAAAAGCAGATGAGACATTAGGTACTGTTAGCACCTAACAGTTCGATTACATGTTATAAATACTACCTATAATCTTACTTGGAGAAGGGGGAAGAAAAGACCCACAGTCAAGAATCCTATTCAGGTACCTTTAGGAAAAGCCACTGTTTGTGAACGTGTTGCCTGTGCTCTTGTGAAAGACATGAAAAACAAAAGGCAAGGATGTATCTTCCAACATTCCTGATCTCACTGCTGTGGATGGCAGAGGAACAGAAGGGACACGGCCCACAGACAGCTGTGCTGCTTTGGTCCTTAAATAGCACCTCTCATCACTGCTGCCACAGACAGACTATTCACCTGACCCCAAGGAGTATTTTGTAAGTACTTGTTACTCAGCTTTCCTAGGGTTCTTCAAAAGCTAAAACAATCCTTAAGTGTTTTGTGCATCTATGCAAATATAAGCAAAATATAATAGTTCTACAAGCAAAATAATAGTTCTACAGAACTAGAGAACTAGAATTTACACTTACAGAAAAATCTTGTCATGAAAATTACTTCTTTTTATCTAGCACCTTGTTAATCCAACAGATCGATATTTAAAGCATGACAATGAGTGTTAACACAAGAGTTTTCTCCTGCTTGCTAGCTCTTATTTTAGACTGTTTACCCAGCTTAGCTGAAGATATTTACGGTGCCTAAGATTTATACAGCTCGGACTAAGGGAATCTTACCTATACCAACATCATGGCTTTCTCAGGGCTGAAAGACAAATCAGGGATACCACTAGACAATGGGGAGAAGGCTTTTTCTGCTTCTGTCACTCAAATATTTTACTCTTTCTGCTACTGTGAGCTTCAGTTAGGTTAAGCTTGAAGTCCCCCTTTTTATTTGCAAAAAGGGAGTTAAGCAGTAGGGGAAGAGTAAATTTTTTTCCTGTTCGGTAGCATATTTTAAGTTTCACCTCTGTGTGTCTAAAACCCATGAAAGCCAACTCAGTGAGAATGAGGCTGCGCATCCACGTACTTCGTGGAAGATTATAAAATCCACAAGAAAAAAAATGAAATACTGTTTGAAAGCATGGGGTTACTGATTCAGCTTACAAGCAAGAGTTCTGCTAGATTTTGGCAAGGGAAGCAAATGAATTTGTAATATTTTAAGACAAAGTCTCTGGAGAGCATATTTAGTAGCATGTTCATGTCTTACACTGGCTAGCTTTGCTTTTCATGTTTTCTGCTTGATTTATTATGCATTCATTCTTCATTCTATGCTAAGGGATTGATGATTGCTGTAGTTCGGGGATTTCTGCTCGGACTCTGGTGTTGGACGAAGTGGACTGACTACATTAACACAAAATTCTTCTACAATAAAAATATAAGTCACATATCTGGGAACAGAACTGATTTTCTTCTGGGATATTTTGAAAGTGTTCATGCTTCTTCCTAAATTTACAACTCCTCATGCATCAGTACCGGAGGAAAGAGCAGGAAGTCACTTGAGGAAATCGTGCTCATTTCTGCTGTAGGACACAGGGTTGTTTCCAGCTCCATGTCCTGTGCAGTGACAAGGCTGTTGGCTGCACTGGGCCAGGCAGGTTAAAGCAAAATCAAACGTGCCTAGAATATTCACTAATGCTGCTGTAAGCAAGGTAAGTATTCTTCCTTTAAAATATTCTCTGTCAAAGAGAAAGATCTTACTTCTTACAAAACCACAAACTAGCTCAAAGATGTTATGGATCACAGGATATTTATATAGTTTATAGCAAGGAATACCTTTTTCTACTGAAAACTTCTGTTATGCCAGATTTGACAAATTACTATACTAAGATATTTTTCTAGTTCATTAGGAGGAAAAATCTCGGTATTTTGGTTCTCCTCTTTTAACTCCAAATTAATCCTCCATTACTAGTACCCACCACTCTTGCTTTAACATGCCCTTTGAAGAAGTCACTATTACCACTGAGATATGAAACTAACAAAGCACTTCAGAGGCAACCTGCTGAAGCTACAAAAGTTAACCTAGGCATGCAAGAGGGAAAAGAGTAGTTGAAATGCTGCACAAGGGTTTAGAAAAGTATCATGTACTATTCATTCAGAGGTAAGATATAGGGTCTTTAGCCTATACTTCTAGGGAACGCCTGCTTCTTTTGGTCCTTAACTGACACTCTCACTTCACCGCTCCCCAGCTATTCACACCTAACAGTATTTTTAGAGCCAAGTAGAAACACTGCTTTCAGATAGAACTGCCACCGACTACTAAACAATAGTCTGCAGCTCCCACGTCTTAATTTTTCCATCTGGCATATATGCTACATTTATCCTCATGCTTTAACTGCAACTGCACATATACTTTCCAAAACTATCCTGTATCTCACTGTAGAAGAGGCTGATGGTGTACATTTTGCCTGAGTATGCCATTGTAAACACCAACACAAAACCCATGAGTCTTAAGATAAATCACTGCTGTTGGGGTGACTTTTTTATGCTTTAAATAAACTGAGCAATAACACAAAAGCCAAATGTAACTCATTTTAAGCAATGCTTTTCATCTGTATCTGATGCTTGTATCGAACGAAGCTCTTGGAGATGCTCTGATATAGTTTTTCTCTAAGAAAAGAAGTTGAGCACATATTGGGATGTATGTATTTAGTACTACTAAGTACGTACTTGATATTGAAGGGGAAGAAACCAGAAATCACAGCAGAGGAGTTCAAGGCCGTTACTCAGGTACGCAGCCATAGATAGGAGAATCGCATGCATGACGGAGCTCCCAGTATGGCAGTATCAAATAAGTGTATGGGAACATAAAAGCAAGTCAGTTACTGCTCCTCAGGTAAAAAGAAGTTTCTGCAACATGTTTAAAAATAGCATGTTTAATATAACCTTAAGGAAATATTCAGATAGCAATAGTCCGACACACTTCAGTTTCATTTTGATGAGACTTTGTGACAGATATCTTACATAAGATTTTTATTCTTCCTCCAAGTCACCAATTGAGGAGCATCTTGTTGCTGTGATTGATCTCAATCATCAAAATCTTTTTAGATCTCTATCCACAAATCCTCCACTTGTCTTAATTACAACATCTCACAGTTTGGGTCTTCAAACAAATCATCATCTACTATGGAGCTGTAGGCATGAGACAGCTGTAAAGCTAACTTTGAAGGATGGCCAGGTCACTAGGATATATCCAGCTGGCTGTTAACTGCATCTGGCTTGAGAATAGCACTGTTACAAGTTATATCATCTATCTGAAAAATCAAGGTATTTTAAAATCAGAGGTTTAAGGTAAGTCAAAAGCCACTACCATACTTAACTTCTGTAAAGAGACAGTCTTATCAATATGGTGCACTACTGGAGTTAAACAAAAAGAGAGGTAATATTACAGATGTAAACCACAGTATTAAGATAATGTATTGAAGTGTGTGATACAATCTATCACAACACAGAAGGAGACAACAGATGTTTCATTTGCAGAAAATACTGATTTGGGCTGATCAGAATGCTTAGCTATAGGCCTTTACTGTTCTCAGTTTTAACACAACGGCAATGAGTTTTAGTAGCGCTTGAATCAAGATACTAAACACTGGAAATCTGAAGGTCATGCACAAGTGATGAAGGTCAGTATATTTCAACAGCAAACCTACTCCTCCTTCCAGCTTGAAGTGGAATGGTACATAGTTTTGTCATTGCACAGCCCGAAAGGAATAACATATGAAAAGAGTTGTATTTTCACATCTTAACTTATATAGAAGTTCACTAGTTTAAGAACTATTAGCTAGGAGGATTAATCAGCATTTAGGTCAGCGTGCATGATACTCTGTTAATTATGCACTAAGAATCCACAACGTGAGAGAGAAGAGCCATTTACAGATTTGCTCCCCAAATCAACAGTAATGCAACAATAACATCCAACTGATTGAGGTTAGTTTAGTATTGGGTGAATGCTGCAGACTTACACACACAGAGTCCTTCCTCTCTAGAAGAAAACACTGCCACAGCCATTCAAAACCTCAGTAACAAGTGCTTAATGTTGGTAATTAAGTCTTCAAGCCTTGGTAGAGTCTAGTATTTTGACTACAATAAGAGTGTAAGTGACCATCACAGAAAGTGACTGACTCGAAGGAAACTAAAGGAAGTGCCTCATTCATAACATCACCTGTTACTCCTTGTAGACAGCTGCTTGACACTTTCCATGAAGGAGTAACTGTCTGAATAAAAAACAAAAACAAAAACAAACCACACACATTGTTTATAGATCACCATTGTTTGCTGAAAGCAGGTCAGCAATTTTCTTGTTCAAGTTAAATATTTACAAACCCTCATGCTGGTCCCAGAGCGCAGCTGTTCCAGACCCCAGTGCTGGTCCTCAGGCAAGAGAGCTAGGATCACCTCCTAGCTATTCCTCACTATCAAACTTCGAAAAGCAAGCAGGGATGTGGGTCAGAGCACAAGCACGTTATACCTGCTGCGATTCAGATAAAAGCAACATCCTAAAGCTAAGTGATTTTGATTTAGACATTCTAGCTAAATCTGAAACTGAATGAAGTGTAAAATTCCTCAAGTCTTACTCATAGAGTACTTATGTTCAGTAGAGGTAAAATACCTCAAATAATTTTGAAGCAAAAAAGAAATGCAAGATATTAGATAGTGGCAGGACATGAATGAACATCGCTCTGTTCTCCCCTGTCATGAAATTAAACCCCAGGAATCCTGTCCAACAAGCCAACTTAGATGCTGGCATACATGGCTGCCTCCCTTGTCAGCTATCTTGGGAGACAGTGCCCCAGAAAGAGGGGATCGTCTTCGCTCTTCCACTGACACAAGGGTGGAAGACATTTCAGTGATACAGAACAGAAATAAAACCAAGACTCCCACTATAACCATAACTAGGCAGCGTTCAGATGAGAGGTACTACGATACCCGTAAATCCAATGCTCTTTATAAGCAGTGGTACTGAAGCTGGAAAAAAGAAGGCAGAAGTC